GGTCCAGTCATGGGGCCTGAACTCTGGGCCTGGGCGCTGTCCCTCAGCTCTTCAGCTCAAGGCTAGCACTCTACCACTTGAGCCACAGCGCCACTTCCGGGTTTTTTCTTTTTGCTTATGTGGTGCTGAGGAATCGAACTGAGGGCTTCATGCATTCAAGACAAGCGCTCTACCACTGAGCCACTTTCCCAGCCCGGGGTTTTTGTTTTGGTACTGGTGGCCTTGTACATGCTGCTCTGCTCTTCTTTGCTATTTACTACTTACTGTCTTACTCTCTTATTTCAGTGGTTCCTTCCTGAAAACTTTACCACATATCTTCAATTGCTTACAGTTAAGTCTACATATCCCCTTCCTTTCCAAAGGCAAAAATTTTTTTTTTTTTTTGGGTCCGGTTGTGGGGACTGAACTCTAGGCCTGGGTGCTGTCCCTCAGCATTTCAGCTCAAGGCTAGCACTCTACTACTTGAGCCACAGTGCCACTTCTGGCTTTTTTTCTTTTTGCTTATGTGGTGCTGAAGAATCAAACCCAGGGCCTCCTGCATGCAAGGCAAGCGCTCTACCACTGAGCCACCTTCCCAGCCCCAAAATTTAAAAATTCTTACTTTCTTGTTGCCATTTTTCCCAAGCCAAACTTCTTCTAACTACTACCCTTGAAGTCCAACAGTATTCTATTTTGGTTACCAATCTACTACTCACTTTATAGATCTTTTTTTTTTAAATTGTATTTATTGTTTATGTGGTACCAAGGAATTGAACCCAGGGCTTCATGCACTCCACTACTAAGTCCCATTCCCAGACCCATAGATCTCATTCTTAAAAGAGTAAAAGCACTCTCTGCTACCCCACTCCATTAGTTTCTTAAGCAGGATCCACACCTTATTCTCCTTTACATTCTTGTGGGGAATGTGTTGTCTGGCACCTAGTAGGAATTTAAAAATATCTCTTTGGCTGGGAACTAGTAGCTCAAACCTGTAGTCCTAATCAGGAGGCTTGACCTGAAGTCATGGGCAGGAAAATCCATAAGACTGTTACCTCTAATTAATCACACAAAAAAGCCAGAAGTAGAGCAGTGGTTCAAGTGGTAGAATACTAGTACTAGCCTGAGCACAAAAACTCAGAAATAATGCCTAGGCTGAGTTCAAGCCCCAGAACCAGCACATATACACAAAAAATCTTCGTAGACACCAGAGCCAGTAAAGTTCTTCTTCTTTTTTTTTTTTTGGGTCCGATCATGGGGCCTGAACTCTGGGCCCGAGCGCTGGCCCTCAGCTCTTCAGCTCAAGGCTGAGCCACAGCATCATTTCCGGCTTTTTTCTTTTTTTTGCTTATGTGGTGATGAGGAATCGAACCAGGGCCTCATGCATGCAAGGCAAGCACTCTACCACTGAGCCACCTTCCCAGCCCCTATTTATTGATTTTTTGACACAGGGTATTTCTATGAATTCAGACTGGCCTCTGCCTCCCAAATGATGAGATCACAGGTGTGATTCCTTTTTTAAAAAAATCAATATATAGGAGAGTAAGCATTGCTGGATGCAACAAGAGTGTAGCAGAGCTCTACATTAACTCTTGCAATGCCACCACTGAGGAGTACAAGTTTGATGCCAGCTGGAACTACTTAGTGGAACTACTAGGAAAGAAAGAAAAGGAAAAGGAAGGGAAAGAAAAGGAGGAAATGGAAAAGAGAAAAACAGGAGGGGTAAAAAGAGAAGAGGAGGAAGAGAGGAAAAGAGAAACAGAAAAGCAAAGGAGGAGAAAGAAATTCGGGGACAGGGTAAAGAAGAATATAGCATTTCACAGCTTCACTGTGGTCTGAAGGCTTGCTGTGCTTGGCTGATTCATACTGAGGACTTGTCAATCTCATGTTTCTGAGAGGCTTGGCTATACTCATGCCCACAGTATTAACTACTGAGTTTCCACAAATGATCTCAAATTTGTAATTCTGTTCATCACTACTCTCAAAAACGCCTCATTCATGTTTCCAACTCTGGATGTTTTCACATGGAAGTCTGGTAAACTTCAAAATGACTACTTACTTCAATTTATCTCATAGCATGCTTCTTTGCACATGTGTCCCTTAAGTTCTAAGTTTTAGAGGCCTTCTCTGACTTCCTCCCACTCCTGTATCCTTCCCCCCAAACCACCCTAATTCATGTGCATGTGGTCACTTCCTAAACAATGGCAGTAACCTCCATGTCATTTTGCACAACACTTCAAACTTGCTCAACGAATTGTCATAGTGCCCTCAAATATACAAAGTATCAAGCTTAAGAAGTTCCCTTTACCCATTTTTCAGTGTCACCTAGACCATGTTATTACCTGCCCAAGCTCACTATTACTGTAAGGATAAAATCTAAATCTTGCCACATGTACAAGGCTTGTAATCCCAGAATTTAGGAGATTGAGGTGGGAGATTACAAATTTGAGGCTAGTCTGGGCTTCCAAGGGAAACCATCTGGAGACACAAATCAACAAAAACCCTTATAGTTTGGCTTTCCAACTTTCTTGTTTAGAAGTGTCTCTTGGATGGCACAATGGCAGGGAATAATTCCAGAAATTTTTGAGTGTGTTTAAGTTACAACAATATAGGAAGTTTGAAAATGGTTAGTGGTTTGTGTTCATTCAGCCCATAATTGACCTAGTAGGGAAATATTCGGAGAACTAAAACAAGTATTCCTTCCTGCCCTACCCCCAATTCTCACCCAGAGAGTTAATGCAATCCTGCAAACACCTCTGAAGAAAAACCATAGCACACTTGCTTTCATACAATTGGTAACAATCAGGAACATAACTAAAACCTTAAAAGAACAGATTTTAATAGAATAAAATTACAAAATTCATTCAGGCTTCTTTACAATTTATTCTCATACAAAAGAAGATAAAATTAATGGTTAATCTTATGACTTAAGTCTTGATCAATGAACCTCATTATTAAAGGCCTCGGTAATAAGACATCTCTGAAGTTAATATCTATGGGTCATGAATAGAAACAGTAAAAGAAAATGATTCAACCTATACTGTAAGCCTCTTTACCTGTAGACCAGCTCTCTGTGAGCGAGACACTGCCTTAGCCTTGGCCTTCCCGCTGTCCTTCCCGGCTTTGCCTCCAGCCTAGATGAAAAAAAAAGTTTTGGATTAAAAGTTGAATACTGGGCTAGGAAGGTGGCTCAGTGGTACAGTGCTTGCCTTGCATGCATGACGCCCTGGGTTCAATTCTTCAGCACCACCTAAGCAGAAAAAGCCAGAAGTGGTGCTGTGGCTCAAGTGGTAGAGCACTTGCCTTGAGCTGAAGAGCACAGGGACAGCGCCCAAGCCCAGAGTTCAAGCCCCACAACCGGAAAAAAAAAAAAAAAAGAAACTAAAAGCAAAGGGACTGTGTGCATGGGTTAAGTGGTAGAATATCTCAAATGCAAGACTTGAGTTTAATCCTTAGTACAGCCAAAGAGAAAGAAAAAGAAATCCAAGAGCATACATGTCTCTGTGGGTTGCAGAACTTTAGAGCACCTTCTGGACTTCCCTATACAAGACATTGCATTGTCCCACAAACCTCAGCAGTGAGGTACTCCAGAATTGCAGCACTGTACACGGCAGCAGTGGCACCCACCCGTCCATGGCTTGTGGTTCGAGTCTTCAAGTGTCTGTGGATGCGGCCCACAGGAAACTGCAAGAGAGATGTCTCACTGGCAAGTACTGACAAAGGACTTCATTGAGGTTAATCAATGGTTTATTACAAGTAAAGCACTAACTAATAACCTGGGTGTACAGAAGTCAAAGCTATTTGGCAACAGTTTCTAGGTCCTATGGGTATACCCTGGTAATCAGCTCCAAATCTGTCAATTCTGCACAATATGGACAGATGTGATGACAGAAGTGATGCTGGCTAGCATCCACTGCATATGTGACATGTCATCCAGTCACCTCTTCCACCCAATAAGCCGCACATAACTGTGATACCCAACCATCTTTCCTCTCATCCTAACTCTTCTTTCTTCAGTTTCAAGAAGTGACCTGATGGTTAGAAGTATCAGCACCACTTATCTTCTCTATTCAGAAAGAGTCCTTTGAGGCCTGGGGTGTGGCTCAAGTGGCAGAGCACTTGCTTAGTGAGTCTAAGGCCCTGAGTTCAAACCTCATGGGGGGGGGGGCGGGAAGGGGAAGGAGAAGGGGAAGGTTTACAGGGAGAAAGTATTCTCTCATCTCTAAAGTATCCTAATCCTACTTGCTTGTGATTTTTTTTTGGGGGGGTGGGGGGGCTTAACTCTGGGCCTGGGCACTGTCCCTGAGCTCTTCAGCTCAAGGAAAGCACTCTACTACTTGAGCCACAGTACCACTTCTCATGTTAATTGGAGATAAGAGGCTCAGGGACTTTCCTGCTCAGGCTGGCTTTGAACCATGATCCTCAGATCTCAGCCTCCTGTAGTTAGGCTTACAGGTGTGAGCCACCTGGCTTGTTTGTGCTTTTACTCCCACTCCCACCAGGGTTTTTGTTTTTTTGTTTTTTGTTTTGGTCCAGTCATGGGGCCTGAACTCTGGGCCTGGGCGCTGTCCCTCAGCTCTTCAGCTCAAGGCTAGCACTCTACCACTTGAGCCACAGC